TAGAATTATGAGCATGAGGGACTGGTGAAGGTCTCGTAGAGTTCTGGCAACAGTGAGGTTGATTTGACTCCTGGTTGGTATACTCAAAAATTCGCAACATTTTACCTCCAAAATGTCGAAAGGAGAGCCAGATCAAGAATTAAAAAAGGTTAGTTATCATTGGTAATGTGCCAGGTAAGTGTTATTAATAACAAGCACTGGTAAACGAAGGTAAATGCAAGAGGACAGGTATTAAAACCTGTTTCAGAAGTGTTCGCCGTGATTACTAGTTTATTTTGGTGATAAGTAACAAGTAAACTCATTTGTCAGTGAACTCATTGTCAGTAGGAAAATGTCGGAGAGTAATGACTGATCGACGACTTGAAAGCCTCGATGAGATCACTGGTGTTGCTGTAGATCCATTATACAAACACCACAGTGGAAATATTTTATTGACTTTTTTTTTAGGTTATCCTAGGTAATTTACCCTATGATAATTGTACTTATGTGTACCTTTGATTAAATAAACTTACAATAATGAGGCTTAGGCAGCCACATCAGGAATTGGGGGCCAGGAGCTGAGACTCGACCCCTACAACCACAGATAGGTTATTGAAAGACGCAAGTAAACTGGATCTTAAGTCACGGCATTAACCCTTATACCAGTCGAAAAATTATGTTGCTTTAAATTAAGATTTTGTTGGGATTGGGAACCCGGGGAGGGGAGGGGTTAGCCACACAATATTACCCAAGAAAGCCCCTCAAGGAAGGTTCCTTGATGTTGGTGAGGTACTCTTGATTTAGGGAATTGGATCTGTGCTCCAGTTCCCCGAATTAAGCCTGAATGCCTTCCACATCCCCCCCCCAGGTGCTGTATAATCCTCCGGGTTTAGCGCTTCCCCCTTGATTATAATAATAATACCCAAGAAAGTCAGTGTGTCATTCAGGAATGTCTCTTATTTCCATGGGTCCTTCAGTCTTGCCCCAGGATGCGACCCACACCAGTTGACTAACACCTACGTACCTTAGGTGAACGGGGACAGCAGGTGTCAGGAAACACGCCCAGTGTTTCCACCTGGCCGGGGATTGAACCACGGACACTCAATGTGTGAGGCAAGAGTGTTGCCTACCAGGCCACAGGTACACATAAATACAATTGTCATGCATAGCGTAAATTATCTAGGAAACCCCCAAAAAAGTCCATTGGGGTCCTTGAGTTGCATATGAAAAAAATGCATCCCTTTGTAATGCTATACTTAAACGAAATGCAAAATATAACACTAGTGTAGGTGCTTTCTGTATCTTGGAGAGTCTATACTGAGATTATTATATTCAGGAGGATGTTCTAAACTTGTAGGGGTCATTCAGCACCTCAGGAAATTGGAGACAAATGAGTTCAATCCAAGGAAAGAAAGAACTAATCCAGTTCCTTGAATTAAGACCCTCACCAGCATTGAGGCACCTCCCTAGAAGGGTTAGGCTGAGAATCTAAAGACATAACTGTGGACTTCAAGAAGCCAGTGGCCGATGGCAAAAAGCACCAGGCTATTCGCACTATCGTCTGTTGTAAAATATCAGCATGCATGCTAAAAAAAGGGGGGAAGCAACTTGTGCTGTCTGGTAAGGGAATGAGCTACACGACTCGTGTTAACTTACAAAGAAAGATCTCGTCTCTTTCAGTTAGACTGTTACAAAATAATCACTCGGCAATTTCAAGCAAATTAAGGAGGGAAAGTCCAACCGCAGTGTAGCAATTAGCAGACAGAGGATTGAGCCTCCCTTAATCTCTGTGCTGAATGGCTTATAATGGGGGTTAGTTAAAGGACTCTTACAGGACCCAGGAGAGACAGGAGCTAAAAGTGATTAATGAAATTGAAAGAAATTCAAAATATTTCTTGTTGCATGCCAAAAACAAAGCAAATACCACATCGAGTATTGGGCCTTTGCTCAGAAAAGATGGGACTTACACAGATGACAACAAAGAAATGAGTGAGATACTGAAATCCCAATACAACTCTTGTGTTTAGTGAGCCATAAATCAGTCTAAAGATTAACAATCGAAATGATTTTTTCATGAATGAACCTCAAAACTCCATCAGTGTATGCCAGATTTCTGACATTACCCTAACTCTGATAAACTTTGAGAAAGCCATTGACAACATTCCCATGCGCTCAGCCCCAGGCCCAGACTCTTGGAACTCTGTGTTCATTAAGAACTGCAAGAAACCCCTTTCACATGCCCTAAGTATACTATGGAGAAGGAGCTTAGACATGGGTGAAATTCCAGTCACTAAAAACAACGGATATAGCCCTATCCATAAAGGTGGCAACAGAGCATTAGCTAAGAACAATAGACCAATAGCTCTAACATTTCACATCATAAAAATCTTTGAAAGAATGCTAAGAAGCACGATTGCAAACCACTTGTGTTACCAAAAATTGCACAAACAGGGCAACATGGATTCAGAGCAGGTCACTTTTGCCTCCCGCAACTACTGGATCATTATGATATGGTCTTGGATGCACTGGAAGAAAAAAACAATGCAGATGTAATATACACAGACTTTGCAAAAGCCTTTGACAAGTGCAATCATGGCATAATAGCGCACAAAATACGTGCTAAAGGAATAACTGGCAAAATGGGGAGATGGATCTTCAACTTTGTAGCCACTCGAACACAAAGAGTAGTGGTCAATAGAGCTAAATCGGAAGCTGCCATAGTGAAAAGCTCTGTTCGACAAGGCACAGTACTCTCCCTCATCCTTATATCAAACATAGACAGAGATGTAATCCACAGCACTGTGTCATCCTTTGCAGACAATACTAGGATCTGCAAAGACTGTCATCTATTGAGGGCATGGTTTACCTCCAAGAAGATATAAAACAAGTTTTCCAATGGGGGAACGGAAAACAACGTGATGTTCAATGAAGACAAATTGCATCTCTGTTATGGAAAACTGAAGGAGATAATAACTAGAGCTGAGTATACTATAAACTCTGATAATACAATAGAACGGAAAAATAATGTGAAGGACCTGGCCTGGGAGTGGTAATGTCTGAGGATCTCACTTTCAAGGATCACAACAGTGCCATGATCACAAGTGCAAAGAAAATGATAGGATGGGTAATGAGAGCATTCAAAACAAGAGATGCCAAGCCAGTGATGATCCTTTTCAAATCACTTCTTGTCTTTTGGCTGGAATATTGCTGTACATTAACATCTCCTTTCAAACAGGTGAAATTGCAGATCTAGAGTGTACAGAGAACCTTTACTACACACACAGCTGTATAGCCCTTGTGGCTTAGCGCTTCTTTTTGATTATAATAATAATAATACTACACACACACAAGTTCTGTCAAATACCTCAACTACTGGGAATGCTCGGAAGCACTTGACTTGTACTTGATGTATTATAATCTAGACTTGGAAAATCCTGGAAGGAATAGTCCTGAATCTGCACACAGAAATCACTCCCTACGAAAGTAAAAGACTGGGCAAGCGATGCAAAATACCCCCAATGAATAGTAGGGGCGCCATTGGTACACTAAGAGAAAACACCATAAGTGTCCGGTGCCCAAGACTGTTCAGCAGCCTCCCACCATGCATAAAGAGAATTACCAGTAGGCCCCTGGCTGCCTTTAAGAGGGAGCTGGACAGATATTTAAAGTCGGTGCCGGATCAGCCGGGCTGTGGTTCATACTGCTGGTTGCACATAGTCCAACTATGTACGACCAGCAGTAACAGCCTGGTTAATCAGGCCCTGATCCACCAGGAGGCTTGGTCATAGCCCAGGCTGTGGGGGCGTTGATCCCTGGAATACCCTCCAGGTAAACTCCAGGTAGTGCTTTTGTATATATGTACTGGTAATTTAAAAAAAATAAAAGGAAATTAAAAGGTGTTTGGAGAAATCACCAGCCTTGAGTAATCTAGGCAGCAGGTTCAGTGACTGGTTAAAATGCTGTATAACCATGAGTTAATCAATATGATTTAATTTAGGGAATTTGTATGGAGAATTTTTCACCAGTAGGGAAATTTATTCAACTGTTGACTGATCAACAACTTGGGAACATCATTGATCAGTCAAATGATCTTCAGTCATACACTGCTGTGTACATACAAGATTTTTGCAATGACATTTTACAGTTGTAGTTATAAAATTAATTAAAAAGGTTTAACAGATAATGTAGAGAAATTTATTTGAAAATATATAGTCCAAAAAAAGTTAGTCAGGAAAGTTATTGTTGATCAGGCCTTGATTCACTGGGAGACCTTGTCACGGATCAGGCTGCGGGGGTGTTGATCCTCGGAATACCTTCCAGGTAGACTCCAGGTAGTAAAAAAACAAAATCCTGATCTGGGCAAAATGTACAAATTTGTTTACTAAATTTATTTAATTTGAGAACTCTTTTTTTTATGGTGGAATTAAGGATTCAGAATATAACTGTTTTGTGTCAAGTAGCTTTTAAGTCTACATTTTTATTTTAACATTTTATTTCAGAAATTTTTTATGAAGAAAACACTAATTTACAGATAAACTATTCTTCTTCATCTTTCAACAAACTGGCCGTATCCCACCGAGACAGGGTGGCCCAAAAAGAAAAACAAAAGATTGTCTTTTTAACTTTAGTAATGTATACAAGAGAAGGGGTTACTAGCCCCTTGCTCCTGGCATATTAGTCACCTCTTATGACATGCATGGCTTACAGAGGAAGAATTCTGTTCCACTTCCCCATGGTGATAAGAGGAAATAAACAAGAACAAGAACTAGTAAGAAAATAAAAGAAAACCCAGAGAGGTGTGTATATATATGCTTGTACATGTATGTGTAGTGTGATCTAAGTGTAAGTAGAAGTAGGAAGATGTACCTGAAAGCTTGCATGTTTGAGACAGAACAAGACACCAGCAATTCTACAATCATGTAAAACAATTAACAGGCTTCCATTTTCCACTCACTTGGCAGGACAGTAGTATCTCCCTGGGTTGTTGCCATCTACCAACCTACTACCTAAATAAAACTGTTCATCTGTTGCATTTTGTTTATCTTCAGGCCTTTATGGAGCTACAAGGCAAAATGCAGGAGACTAACCAGAAACTTCGCATTGCTGATGTTCAGGTGAGAGTCTTAAGAAGCAGATAGTCCATGCTCAACTTACAGATAAGGAAATACAGGTGAGCTAAGGAATAATTTAGTTAAGAACACTGGCACTTCTCTTCCATGTATAGTATGTACTGTACTGTATTATATTATCACCTAGAACTATGTTTTTTTACACTGGTATCAAAATCTGTAAATTAAATATGTACATAATTTTCTTTTGTATAAGAACAGTATAATGTACCTGTTTGTGTTATCACTGAATATTAAATACTTTTCAGAGTCTTGGAGAAAACACTAGAGTGTATGAAAGTGTGGGGCGTATATTCCTTTTGACAGATATTCCTATGGTACGTGAAAACCTGAAAGCCAAAGTTTCAAAATGCAATGACAAAATTACTAATTTGCAGGTAAGTTTTCCACTATTTTTGTTTTTAAGTTAAAGTGCAGTATTACTAACTGAAATATTTCATATAATTCAGTAGGTGTAATTCCAGGTCAAATGAGATTTCAGATTTAAATTTACTTTAAGGGGGGGGGGGTCATTCATTACGTGATTTTTTTTTATTGGCAAATTTTTGCTAAAGCTTCTTTGATATATTTGTGGAATTTGGTTATCTCATATATAAAATATATTATGATCAGAATAATATTTTAGTGATTTTTATATGGCATGTCCTGCTTGTTTTTTTCACAGTTGTATTGCCACTGCAGTGCATACTTTCACTCCTCTTTAAACCATTTGTATAAAATATTAACTAATGCATCAAATCTAGGCTTGGAGGGATGTCTATTGTAAAAGGTTACCCGTAGGCCTATATATAAAGTAAAAAATTTTTAAGCAGAGTTAATCATCAAATTTAGATATTGTATTTCCAGCAGCCCTTATAACATTGCCCATTGACTCACCCACAATTTGATGGTCCACCTCAGAAAATGAGGTGGACCACTTGTAAATATAAATTGCATTTTTTCTATATTTTCCGAATTCCCTACTTATTTCTTTTTATATCATAATTCACCTCTTGATATAGCTTATAGTGAACAGCCAGTATTGATTTATATTTAATGTGCCTAAATTTAGTTTGGATTGAGATGTGGATAAGAGGGCCCCTGATATTCCATTTGGTGGTTGTATCTGGCTCTTTGAGACTTATTTCATGCCTGTGTATCTCATGGTCCATATTGGACGGTAGTTATTCTTTGTCCCAGATTTGGATATTTTTTAAAAAATTTTGCAATCAAAATACCGTACGTGTACATTGATTAATTTAATGATTACATACTTTATTCTATTAATTTTTCCAACTTGTATAAAATTTGATTATCTAAGACAGTGTTACAAGTGCTAATTTTATTTTAAAATTCTGTGGAATTTATTGATAACACTTCTTTTACTCAGCCTATTGGAATGAGAGGTTTGTAATTGTTTTATGGAAATTTTGGTGCAAAATAATGGTTTTTAAGGGAAAATAATGGGCACATACCTATTACAATTCTGATTTAGAATACTGCAAAGGTTAGCTATATTTTGTTCATTTAATTTTTACTTTTATTAATTCCCCTTTTATATTTTAATTTTTTTTCAGGCGAATAAAGAATACCTTGAACGCAGCATGGCAGAAAGCCAAAATAACTTGAGGGAGCTTATTAAACAAAAGCAGTCAGTTGGTGCAGCTTAATGGCTCTTGAATGAAATCGAAACAAGCTGAAACCAAATTTAACTTTCAGCCCCTAAATTTCTAGGATATTGTCGTTGGTATCTTCAAATTTTCTTTGTCCACTTGCAAAACAAACAATATTATACATGAATCATTACCACAGAGTCTTATATTTGTATTAGTATCCATGTAGTTATATATATGGTCATTGGCCAAAATCACATTCAGTATGTTTTTGGGTTGTGTGTTTATTAAAAGGAGTGATGTAATAACTCATACATTCACTTTTTTTTCTGATAAATTTCAAAAGGCATGCAGTTCACAAAAGCTCATTGAAGTGATACCTATATAAACTAATGTGTAATTATTTGCACATGAATTGCCACTGATATTGTTAACTCTTGTGGGGCTGAGGTATGCTGTATTTTGTGCAGCATCCTTATTATCTAATGCTAAAGTATTTGATTTGTACTTTGTTTTTTGATAGTATAATCATATTTCATTTTTTTTTTTATATATTTGCTTGGATTCATTTTCCAGATTATATTCATTCAGCTTGGTAGATTTCTTAGCTAGGCTTTATTGTTATGCACACTGTACCACATACTTCTTTCTAATGTATCGTCTTAATTGCACATTAATAGTTTAAGTAAAAATAAAAATATACAAAGTATTGAGTTTGATTTTCCTGTTATTGTCTTAATTGATAGTTTATTTTAGTATAGAAGTCACATGAGCCTGTGGAAATAGAATGTAGTCAGGTTGAATCCAGGAGCTTCCTAGATACTGATAAAATGCTCTTGAACCAAAGATTTGGGCTTGTACTCCACTCCCTTAGATTGGACCTGATTGTCCCCATTCTCTGAGTCCTGCATAATCCCTGTAGGTTTAGTGTTTTACCTAAATATAATCCAGGGAAGGATAGGTCAAGTTCAATTCCTTTTGATCAAGGATCCTTCTTTGAGGGGGGATTTTTTTTTTCTCTCTTTTCCGAGTTTACAGGATATATCATGCAAACCTGTTCGATGTGTACTCAATAAGAATTGGCAAAGATAAGCCAAAATCACATATGTGAGCTTGAGTAGGTAATGGAGGAAATGCTAAACCCATAGGGCTATACAGTGGCTGAGGAATGGGAGGCAGTAACATATGATACAATGAAGGGGACAGTAGTTCCCATTCTTTCCCCTCAAGGAAGGTTCCTTGATGTTGGTGAGGGGCTCTTGATTTAGGAAATTGGATCTGTGCTCCAGTTCCCCAATTAAGCCTGAATGCCTTCCACATCCCCCCCCCAGGCGCTGTATAATCCTCCGGGTTTAGCGCTTCCCCTTGATTATAATAATATAATAATCCCATTCTTTCATTAAGACCCCTTTTACCATCATCAAGGCATTTTCTTAATTTCATGGAGGTCATACAGTACCTTTGTGGGTGGGAGACAAGTGTTTGATCCAAGGAAAGGGAGTTAAACTCCAATTTTTTTTGGATCAAGAGCTGTACATGGGCATAGTCAACCCTTAGAGAGGAACCTAAACAAAACTACATGTTCCATGGATGCTACCTACTAAAATATAGAAGTTTGATTATACTGCACATCCTGGGGTGTAGTTATAGCTCCAGGGTATGAGGGAGTCAAGCAGCAACTCTTCCTTTTGATTATAATATGACAAACTTCCTGGCTACTCCCAACTATTGCAGCAGGTGGTAATAGATGGTTGTCAGTGGCTACTTAAGAAAAGTTTTGCAAAACTATAGGAAAACATTAGTACAGTGGACCCCCGGTTAACGATATTTTTTCACTCCAGAAGTATGTTCAGGTGCCAGTACTGACCGAATTTGTTCCCATAAGGAATATTGTGAAGTAGATTAGTCCATTTCAGACCCCCAAACATACACGTACAAACGCACTTACATAAATACACTTACATAATTGGTCGCATTCGGAGGTGATCGTTATGCGGGGGTCCACTGTATATGATGCACTGTATAAAAATTGCAATTTAACCCAGGTGCTGCAAGATCCCTTACAGGATTAACATTTCCTCATGAATATAATTATTTGCATTACTTTACCATTATTAATATGTGTATATGAAAAATTGTATTACAATAGTATTTAAATAGAGACTTTATTTGCATCAAACAACACACGAGTGAAGCCCAACCATTATAATATGCATAAAAAGTTACATAATTACAAATGTCCAGAAAAACCATATGAGTCATATTGCATTAACTTTTGTAGCTCCTTACTGACCACTAATAATCATAGCCATTATTTATTATACATAAACTTGACACCTTTATTACAAGACTACATAGGACAGATTTTCTTTTTACATATTTATAACTGCTTATAATTAAAAGGAAAAACCAAATAGCAGTTTTGTTCATATAGTATTCAACTTTAACCTACTCGTTTCATAATAACTTGAGACTAATGGTATTTGCACCAGTCCTGAAATGAATGAAAAATATATACACCATAGATAAAAACTGCATTTATAGATTTTAAGTATATAACACCTATGAGTTTAGCACTTGCCAGTGATTAAATGAAATAGATTTTAAGTCCTGCCTCGAATAAAATACTATAAGCCAAATATTATGAAGAGGAAATTGTGTCCTTTACTGTATGTATGTACTGTATTAAGTTCCTTAAGGAACTGCTAGTTATATTTCACAACCAAGTTCGTAATCCAGACTATTCAACATCTTAAACCCGAAGATATCGGAAACACGACTGGAACAAGTATAGGAGCCTTCAAAAGGAAACTGAACAAGTATCTTCACCAGGTGCCAGATCAACCAGGCTATAATGGATATGTGTGGCAGCGGGCCTCCAGCAGCAACAGCCTGGTTAACCAGGCAAGCACCAGACGAACCTGGCCCATGCCGGGCTCCGAGAGTAGTGAAACTCGAAACTCTTCAAAGGTATAACCAAATATTAGCTGACTGGAGGCTAGATATAAACTAAATTTTATCAAGCTATTTATTACAATTTGTTTGAATTACTTAAAAATAAGTACACTTAACACAATGCAGAGAATTTTTTTTCCACCACAGGCACCAAAAACTTTGTTTAAAAATTGTTGATCAGGAGTCATGCCTTACAAAACACGCACGGGATATTTGTGTTTTAATGTAAAATATTTTTCAATAAAAATTACATATTTAATAGTTTTAAAATTTTGGGGCATTTAGCAATGTAAAATAGAAAACAAAGTACAATTCAAAATCTTAAAACGGGGCACCCAAAAACAAAACTTCCGTTCCAAACCCCCTTAAAAAGGGGTTTTGATGCTGGTGAGGGTTAGCGCTTCTTTTGTTTTATAAAAAAAAAAATTTGATGCGGTAAGCTCTTTTAACCCTTTGGGGTTTGGTCGTACTAGAACTCTACGCGGGGGGGTTTTTTGACTACAGTACGCATAAATTCTGGGGCCCCCAAATCTCGCGCAAAAGGCGGTAGGCCTAGGTGGAGAGAAGGGGTCTCCCGGGGCGGTGTCGCGTAAAAAAAAACGGGACCCAGTGTGCATTGTGAAGCCCCTTAGTAAACAATGTCCACCAGCCTCGGGTAAGAAGCTCCTCCCCCTTCCTCGCGAATTTTGGGACATTTTTGTTCCCCATGCAGTTCTAAATTTTGGAAGTGCCGGGAAGATGAGTTTCGGGGTTTTAGTGATTTTTTGACGAAACAAATGACCAAAATTCAGAAATTTGGAAAAAAACCCCAGACGCCCCCTCACCTTCCCCCTCTGGTGCGGGCCCCCCTCGTTCACGTTCGTTTTTTCCCAAAAACCCAAGGGAAACTTCATTTTCCCAAATCCCAGACTCAGATAGAGCATGGGTGATGATAGGATAGTGAATATAACTACAGCTCTTCAAACATTTTCCAGAAGATTGAAGTGAATATTCCCCGGAAGCATCAGTAATACGACGATATATGCGCCTGGTATGTGCCATGTTATCCCCGGGGGAAGGAGGTATCTCGATGCATCCCGGGGGCGTACAACGGGAAACAACAGGAAAATACAAAAGATCTTTTGCAATTGGGATGGAAAAGTGCGGGGTGGTAGGGGTGCCGCAGTGGGGGCCCAAGGGGGCCATGCGCCACCCACGCCGCTGCCTCACTGATCTAGAACAAAGGCCCCACCCCCCACTCACCCACCACACCACCCCACAACCACAACCTCCACAACCACAACCCCTTCATTGTCCAGTACCCACCACAGACCGCACCGGGGATTGGCAGGAACTGTAAAATTTTTTCCAAATCCCCACCGTTTGATGACAGCCAAAGGGGAAAATACGGCCATCTTGGCACTTGGGACAATGCCACTGAACTGGAAGTTTCGAGTTTTTCTTTGACGAACCACGATGAAAAGTATTGTCTGGAAACAACACAAATACGAGAACCCCTGGCAAACACATTACTTTCACCAAAATCACTCACCCATGAAGGGGGCAACTGTGGCTGAGATGTATCTTTTTTTGCCACAAAAAGTTTAAAACCCCAAGTGTTAAAGCAAAAATGAAATATACTGGTCAACAGACCCCATGATTGCAACACCGGGTTTTCAGTGTAAAAATCCAGTGAATCGTTGGCTAATGTTACTATGCTTCACTTCTCAGAAAAAACCACCCCTGACAGAACTGACAGGTTTATATAAAAAGGAATTGTTTGTGTATCAAAAAACAAAATTCATCTCTTTTTTTACCCCTTTCCCGGGAACTTGAATTGACGAGTCTTTGTTTCGTTCAAAAAGACCTCTTTCAACAAATCCCAAACAAGAGGAAACGCTTGGGAAAAAAGTTTTTGTGCTTTGTGATTGTTACATGCTGGTAGGGATATTTTTGGTACCCGGAATTTTATACTTGAAAATACCGGGAAAGTTTTGGGGCATCTCAGCTGGGGTTCGAACAATGATAGAACCAACTTGGTGGGGGGCATATATTATTACAGATAACGGTACACAAGCCCCTCACTCATTTTTTTTGCAGTGAACTGACAGAGGGTGGGGCACAGGCGGCAAATCGAAAACATATCCCAGGTTTGACCGGGCACTCTAGAGGTGAGGTGCAGGCTTTTTGGCCCCAAATGACATAAATGGCATTTCGGGGGCATGACAAAGAGATTTACACTGCCACAATTCACCCTAAGAAATGCAGACAGGGGCGGCAGCATAGAAAGAAAAAACCCCATTCTAAAACCGCAGCTGTATTGATTACACCTTCAACTGCTTCAGGGACAAATTGACATGCGTTGGGTTTGCTGATTGTGTTTCGCAAATTTTAAATGGTACATAAAACTTTTTTCCATCTTCTGGCATTTCCATGCTCAGGTTTAAATATTTAAAACACCAGAAAAAAACCACAGTACGGCGAATTCTGTTTGCGTCATCAGCAAATGTATTAAAGTCCCAAAGGAACGCACCTGAAAATTTGACCGCCCCCCAAAAATACAACAACACCTCCGTCTGAAGCATGGTGACACTTCCTGGTAAAACTGCCTGCAAACTGTTTTGAAAAAAAGGCTCAAAGAGTGTTACGTCTTGCACATACAAAAAAAATGCAACAACAACCAGAACACTCGTTTTATGTGTGAGAGTGCAAAACCCTGTGCATGAACCCCATGTTTTCAAGAGTTCCACAGCCTTCAAAACTTCTAGAAACA